GTTTTGACCGGGTCCTTTATTGCCCATCCGGACCGGTTCCGGGTCCCGGATCGACCAGTCAGGCCGGTCCGTATCAAAAAACTATGCTAATTTGTGTTCTTGGTTGAATCTCAGTTGCTTGTCGGTAATGATTTTTGTGTTGCTCTTCGGTTATGCTCTTGACAGCAGATGGATCTTCGGGGTAAGCTAGCACTTGAAAAGCTTTTATGTAACTTGCACATGAATCTAGTTGCACTTTAATGAAGTTCCATCGCAAAATATAGGAAGAGTAGTTCACTGAGCTTATAAGCTATACTTATTTTTCCTATAGAAGGAATGTGGGACTAACATATTCTAATATCATGGATTGACTTTTACAAAATCAAGTAACTTTTTTTAACTCAAACTTGTGCCTATATATCGACAATTTTGCTCGTTCACGGCATAGTATTCACTTCCACCGAAAACAAAACCTTTCAATAGTATTCACTTCCACCGAAAACAAAAACTTTCAATAGTATTCCGATCATTTCATCGAGCATGTTTATTAATTAATAAATTGTAATAATATTGAAGTGCCAAATATGGGATAGACGAGATGTATCGAGACCAATGGAACCGGGCTAGCGAGAACCCATACGGTTATGAGTCTCCTCAATCGAAAAAATGATTTTGAGGCTAATGCCTAAAAGTATCATTTGATAGTCTCTGGTTTTTGTTTTGTTGATGGGGCAACAAAATCTCTTTCTGTAGTTTTCGTTGAAAGTTGTTTTGTTGATGGGGCAACAAAATCTCTTTCTGTAGTTTTCATTGAAAGTTCAATGGAATTTCTCAGTTTCTTTCTAATTATACTAGTGAATATTTCAAGAAACTATATCTGTCACACATTAAATTTGGATTATTATGCTATAAATATATATGATGTCAATGTCATAATCTACTAAGGAAAAATAACGGTTAAACAATTATCTTTTCCACACATACATATGTCATAATCTACTAAACAACATAAACACATGTATTATATTTCATAACATAAGTCTACATTTTCATTAAAAAAATATGCTGCAATTATAGTTCTTTCAGGACTGAAATTGCAACAAATTTTTAAATTTCTGTATTTTTTATTAGCAATTTAAGTTCTGCAATTTAAAATTTTGTTGCAACTTAAGCCCTATAATTTAAAATTTATTGCAATTTTGATCATTTGAAGACTAAAATTAACAAAATATTAAATTAGAGGACAAAAAGACAAAAAATTGAAACATTGAGACTAATTAAGATTGCTATGAAGTTTTGCTCGTCTATGATGACAGCAATTTACTTTAATTACGACGTCGTATACGTGAGACTCTTCGAGCATGTTTGTTTATAGAAATTTTTGGTTTTGTTTCAATTTTTTGGTTTGGTTTAGTTAATTTTGAAAAATGTGGTATGGTTAGTTGTTAGTGAGTATATTAAAATAATATTTAAAATAAAATAATTAAAATTAATTTGATGTAAAAGTATGAGAGAGATGATTTGAAGTGATGGTTAGTTAAAATAATGTGAGTAGATGAATAGTGAATTAAGGTTGATACGGTGTATGAATGATTGATTGATATTATTTAATTATATTGATAATATTGATGATAGTGGAGTTGAGTTAAAAAAAATGATTGAGTTAAAATGTTAGAAATTTTTTTGAAAATTTTTTATAAACAAACAAACATGCTCGAATCTCCTAATCGAGCTCTGCCATCTCTCTGTCTCTCTCTCTGCCTTTGTAGAGAGATAAACCACTGTTCAGAGGTATCGGATCTTGTCTTCTCAGGCATCCTCTGCAGGTGAGGCATTGTCCTCATTTTTTCGCAAGAATGCTTAGCATTCAAACACAATCACGAAATCCCTTATCCCATGTGTCAAATAGTTTCTTAATTTAGAATGTTGTCGCTTTTCATTTTCTGGGGTTCAG